CTTCTGTTTGACCCAATCGCTGCGGTCTGGGAGGATGGCTCACTGGGTGACGCGCCTGCTGCTCAAGCAGGAGAGCCGCGTAAAAGCCAAGTGAGTCGGGTCCCGAGCCTGCGCTGGCCAGGTGGAGACAGGAGGGTCCCCGGGGCTTGCAATAGTTGAGCTAATCAGTGAGCTCCAGGTTCCACGAGCGACCCTGTCTCAAAATTAAAGGAAGGGACCTGGAGAGATGATGGCTCAGTGGTTAGATCACTGGCTGCTTTTCCCAGAGGACCCGGGTTTGCTTGCCAGTACCACACTGCAGCGCAGTGTCTGTAAACTCCAGTTCCAGGAGATCTGACACCATCTTCTGGCCTCCGAGGGGCACCGCGTGCACGTGGTACACAGACACACATGCAGGTAAAACATGTATGCACACACCCATACGCATAAAGTGAAAATAAGTAAATGTTTTCATTTAATTATCAGTAAGGTAGACACCCTGTTTAGTGGGGAGCAAACGGATGGGGACACCTGAACCCCTGGCTTCCCCGAGCGTGCACATGAACACACGCAAATAAGCAATAAATGAGTGAACCTATGTTCTCCAGAAAAACACACACAACAGATGAGGTGTGTCTTTATATAAATGACGCGCCTGCAAGCATGTGTAGGCCATCTATACATATACTACATACTCAGACAAGCGTGCGGCCATCTTTTGGGGTCCTTGGAGGGATGGGTTTCCAGGACTGTTTACAAGTACCAAAAATCCTCAAGGCGCTCCCGCCCCTTGCTTGGCTTGGCATCACACCCGCGCATCCTCCTGGGTACCTCCACATGACCTGTGATACTTAAAGCGGTGGAGATGGCAGGTGATAGACGCTGGGCAGCACCGGCTCAGAAACGCTAACGAGAAGAGCGTGCTCGTGTCCGTCGCAGAGGCAGCCGCGGTGGTCCCTTTCCCATCCGCAGGCGGGCAGCCTCCAGGCGCGGAGGCTTCCGTACCCGAGCACGCCCACGCGCTGTACACACGCGTGCATGGAGAGAGACGCGCCGTAAACACCGGCTCGCACAGCTGTGGAGGCTGAGGGGTCCAAGGTCTCCAGCCCGTGAGCTGGAGGCCCAGGAAGGCTGGTGGCTCAGCACGCTCCGAGGGATGCCTGACCTACTCCTGTCTGGGTGTAGCAGCAGCGAGGCAAGATGACGGGAGCTCCTCCACGGGGAGAACGCCGGCCCCGCGCGGTCCGCCTCCCTTGCTCCCTGTCACGTGTCTCTGAATATGCTTTCTCTGGACGAGCCTTCGCGGAGTTGATTGGCAGCGTAAGTGAGACAACTAGCGTGGCGTTGGCCTCATCCAATCGCCGCCGTTGTTAGAGTTGAGAACGGTAACAGCTGTGCGTGGTGAGAGCATGCGCTGTGCGGGCCAGCGACCCGGTGTCCGCTTTGATAGCGCCTCTCCATAGCGCCGCGCGCAGTGCTCATGTTCGTCGCTAGAGGGCGCCGCGGGCACACCGCCAGAAGCGGCGTCAAGGCGCCAGCGGCACCGTGGGTCAGCTCCGTCACTCATCAACTGATGGGGTTCTCAGCCTGGGAAAAGCCTCTAGGGTACAAGGAAGCTTTCCTATCGCCCCTGAAGCTGCCCAGAGGCTGCACGCTGGCTAGCGATAAGTCAACCGCACGACGCACCGTCATCAGAGAGGAGGGAGCCTTAATTAAGAAAACGCCTCCATAAGATCCACCCGTAGGGCATTTTCTTTAATTAGTGATCCGTGGGGGAAGGTCCACCCCACTGGGGTAGGGGCATCCCTGGGCAGGTGATTCTGGATTCTGTAAGAAAGCAGGCTGAACAAGCCGTGATGGGCCAGCCGGGAAGTAGCACCCCTCTCGGGCCTCTGCATCAGCTCCTGCCTCCAGGTTCCTGCCCTAGCTTCTTCAGGCGGACTATGGTGTGGAAGTGTAAGTCAAACAAACACTTTTCTCCCCAATTTGCTCTTGGTCATGGTGTTTCATCACAGCAACAGTCACCCTAAGACAGATACCAGCATAGTGGGGTATTGCTGTGACACCTGACACCTTAGTACCTTAGTCCCTCAGCGGAGGGCCTAAGGAAACCATGTTTGTGAAGACTCTGGAAAAGCCACTGAGTGTTGAGAGCTCAGTGAGCTGTTCTGTGGGAGCTCAGAGGATAAGAATGTTGGGGGCACTGCAGACGGTGGAGGCCTGGCATGCGCAGTTTCAGAGGGAAGTTTAAAGACTCTGTCGGGGCCAGTTGTTATTTCAAGTTGTGAGTCCGTGGTTCTGATCAGCTGAGGCTGAAGAGTCAGCTGTGATTAACAAGAGACCAGCGTCACCGAGGTGAAGTCCTCTGGGAAGTGTCTCCTCAGGGACATAGAAGCTGCGCTCCAGAGGCAGCCAAGGTTGTGCCTCACACTGGCAGCTGACCTTGGTAGTGAAATAGTAACCCAGACCAGTGCTGGAGAGATGGCTCAGAGGTTAAGAGCACTGGCTGCTCTTCCACAGGTCTTGACTTCAATTCCCAGCAATAATGAGATTTGGTGCCCTCTTTTGGTGTGTAGGTGTATATGCAGACAGAACATGGTATACATAATAAATCAAAGAAAGAAAAAGTCACCCAGGTGGTACTGCTTTTGAAGGCCTGAAGCAGCTGAGGCTTGGCAGCAGTGAGGCAGGGCTGGAGTCCCTGAAGAGAGCTCAGGAGAGGCCATTGGTGAAAGTGCAGCCCAGTGGGAGCAGAGACCCCAGCATTTTGGAGATGCTGGTATCATGAGATGGCCGCTAAGAAAAGCAGCAGCAGAGATATGGGGCCTGCGTGAGCCTGGAGGAGGAGCTGCAGAGGGCGGAGCCAGAGAGGTGACCCAGGCCCTTGGAGGAGAGTACAAGATTGTGAGGGAACCCCAGACTATGGATATTGAATTATTTACACAGTTTGGTTTTGCTTCATTCAAACTGTGACTGTGCCCTGGTTCTTCTTTCTTTAAATTGAATAGTTATTTCCCTGAAGCAAGAAACCATTAAATTTATTTTTTTTATTGCGCAGAAGCCCACAGTTGAAATACTGAATTTTTAAAGATATTTTAGATTCTAAAAGAGGCGTTGGGTTTTTAGATAGACTGAATTTTAAAATGTTTGAATTAGTAAAGACTGTGGGACTTTCAAGACTTGGAATGTTTTTAAGATTTATTTATTTATTATAAATACAGTATTCTATCTGCATATATAGCTACAAGCCAGAAGACACACCACATCTCATTATGGCTGGTTGTGAACCACCACACGGTTGCTGGGAATTGAACTCAGGACCTCTGGGAAGAGCAGCCAGCACTTTTAACCTCTGAGCCACCTCTCCAGCCTTTTTTTATATTGTGATGTTGATATTAATGTGTGATGTTGTAGATGGACAAGAAAGAAAAGGTTGCAGGTTAACAGTGATGTGTGTGTGTGTGTGTGTGTGTGTGTGTGTGTGTGTAAAATTGACAAGTAAGTTGTGCTGGCTGGTTTTATGTCAAGTTGACACAAGGTGTAAGCATCGGAGAGGAGGAAGCCTCAACTGAGAAAATGCCTCCATGAGATCAGGCTGTGGGGCATTTTCTTAATTGGTGATCAATTGGCCGGGGCAGCCCATTCCTGGGCTGGTGGTCCTGGTGCTCTAAGAAAGCAGGCTGAGCAAGCCATGAGGAGCAAGCCAGTGAGCAGTACTCTCCATGGCCTCTGCATCAGCTCCAGCTTCCTGCCCTGTGTGAGTTCCTGTCCTGACTTCCCTCAGTGATGGACTACAATGTGGAAGTGTGAGCAAATAAACCCTTTCTCTTTCATCACAGCAATTGCAAGCCCCTGGCTTTCCCCTAGGTGTTCTGAGGGGAGGGCTGGCTATGGAGCACGGGAGGAAGGGGGTGGGGACATGGCCAATCCAGTATATGGCCTCCAAGTGCCTACGAGGTCTTGGTCCATGTTGTAGCACTTGCTCTGTGCACCTGCCCTGTCACCCAGTGTCACTCACCTCCTCGGGGGCTGTCACCCAGGCAGGGACACACCAACTCTGGGGTTTTTAATCTTGCTGTTCCTTCACCTTCTGGGCTCTTCTTCCCTGAGCATCCTGGCCTCTTTCTTTTCCTCTTTGCTCAGTGAGAAAATGCAGCTACCCTGTTTCACATGACAGCCCTACTCGCTGCCACCTCCCTCCACTTCCCTCCAGAGCCTTCCACACACGATCACTCGCTCATCCAGTTTACCGTCTACCTTCTGAGCGCCATAGCATTCCTTTGCTTCAAATTCTCCTGCCCTGCGGCCTAGCACGGGGTGGGTCTTCACGGAATACCTGCTGATCTGACTTGCATTCTGGGGGCCACAGTCAAGGGTTTAGGGGGTAGCCAGTGAAGGTTCTGAGCGAAACAAACCTTTGTTCCACCCAGTCCTGGAGAGCCTGGCTGCCAGGTGCTTTGTGTAGGAGCAGAAGCCTAAAGGACGGAAGCCTAGTTCCCAGTACAGGGGACAGAGCAACTGATGAAGAGGCTAGCTGCTTCCAGATGGAGAGCCAATGTATCCCAGGAGGAGGAGAAGGAAGAGGAAGAAGATATGAAGCAGCAGCTACCTCTATGGCCCCTGGTCTTATTTTCTCTGGTCTATGTTGATTATTACACATCAAATATCTGCTTGATTATCAAATCATTCTAGAACTTATATCCAGTTTATACAGGATGAGTCAAGCTTTATTATGGAGGCAGGGCCTGGCTATGCCCTGCCTCAGTCTCCCCATTGATGAGTGACAGATGTGTGCCTCCATACCGGGCTTTGCCCCACTTTAAATATGCAGCTACCCTGTATAGCTGCATAGCGTGGACAGACCACAGTGTCACGTCCTGTGTCACCTTCAGCGGATGCTGCCTGCTGCCCGCTGCCCTGCTGCCCAGGAGGCGGCGCTAAACTCACGGGTAAGATGGGCGGGAGGGTTCTGACGCCCACATCCTGGGCTGTCATTCATTTTCCGCAGGTCCCGCCCCCTCTCGGCTGCAGCAGGGCGCGGAGCACAGCGCCGAGCAGGGACGCGTCCGAGCACCGGGCACTGACCAGCTTGAGCCATGGCTTCCGTCCCTGCGGGTAAGCACGGGCGGGCGGCGGGAGGGCGGCCAGGCCCCACGGCCTCGGTGCCGCTCACCGCGCTTCCCTGCTTGTCCCGCAGAGGCCGAGACCCGCCAGAGGCTGCTGCGCACCGTGAAGAAAGAGGTAGGGGCGGCCACCCCAGGGTGACAGAGCCACCGCAGGCACCTGGCTGGCGGTGGCCCGTGGTGCATGGCTGACCAGAGCCGGGGGGGGGGGGGGTCACCGGAGGACTCAGGTGTTTCAGGGTGTGGAGGTGTCCAGGTGGGACCTTTCCTTGTAGAGGGGCATGTGGGTGGTTCTCACTCCTGGGGTAGGGGAAGGTGATTCACGGCTCCTCACTAGAGATGCAGAATGTCCTCAGACAGGGGGCAGGCTTGATTTGGGACCATGAAGCTGTCCCCCTACCCCACCCAAAATGCTCAGTCCTTGGAGCCACCTCTAGGTGCCAGGGACTCTGTCCCGGAGAGCCAGTGAGCTGGGCCAGGATCACAAGGCAGGTGCCCTTCTCCTGCATGCCTGACAGGATCAGGCAGGAGGACGGAGGCAGCTGGGAGCCCAGCCTTGTCTTGGAGTTCAGTCCATGACCTCCCAGGCCCTGGGGGGAGGGAGGGTTTAGAAGGCTGAAGTGGCGTCTCAGATGTCTGTGGGCCCGTAGGTGTAGATGCTCATGGCCCAGGACATGTGGCTGAGCATATGTGTATGGGAACACATGTGCGTCTGCCTGGAAGTACCCAAGGATGACCTGCATATCGTGTGTGCTTGTGCGAGTCTACATGTGTATTTGTGTGAATGGGTGCAATTGCGTGTGTATGTACGGCGTGGCTTTGCCCTCCCCATTTTGTCTCCATCCTATCCTTCCGCTCGCCCGACCCTCTCCCCCACCCCCTCCACTGCCTCATTTTCATCTTGGGGTTTCTTATCCCAAGACCTTGCCTGGCTGTGAATCTGTGAGTGAGGCTGGAGTCTGTCTCTTGCTTCCTGGGCATGGGTGTGTGTGTGTGTGTGTGTGTGTGTGTGTGTGTGTGTGTGTGCGCCTGCGCTCACACCCGTGTGATGTGTCTGTGTACGTTAGGGTGCCACCCCAGAGGCCCTCCTTTCCCGGTGGCAGCACCTGGGCAGCGGGAGGCTGGGACCTGTTGCCTGTGGCTTCTTCCTCTTGGGGACTGTGGGTGTGTCTCTGTGTTTGTATCTGTGTGTAGCCTATCTCTTTCTGTTTGAAGAACCGGCTCTGGAGCTGGTTGCAGATTCTAGAATTTTCAGTTGCGATGATGTGTAAGACGGATAGATGAGGGTCCCCTCGTAAAGGCCTAGAAGTCACTAGCTCGGTCTTTGGCAAAGACCTCTTTGAAGACACTATCCAGACCCCAACCCTGAAAACTCACACCTCTGCCCTTCAGGAGACAGGTCTTGAAGGCCCTTGGAGTAAAAGCAGGAAGATCATCATGGCTTTTACTCAGACCTGGATGGGATGCATGCTCCTTGGCTGTTAGAGCCTGGGTGACCCCCTTTGCTAAGGAAATGGTTGACAACAGGAAAGGGCTGTGGAAGAGACAGCCAGCATGGGGGGGGGGCTAGGAGACACCCTTGCTTAGCTGTGCCACCAACTCCCTCAAAGTCATCTATAAATCATCCCTTTGTGAAACCGTCACTCTCACCAGGGTTCCATTTCCCCATCTGCAGATGGACTCATGGGCCCCCATGTCCCACTTCCGGTCCTCGGCAGTCTAGCTCAGGCTCCTGGAAAGGCTGTGGGGATGTTGTGCCATGACTACAAGCTGCCTGTTTCCTTGCTTCTGGGGGCCACTGGGTTTGGCATGAGCCTCCTCGTTGGAGTGGAGTGGGCTCTTCCCACCCTGAGACATACGAGGACAGTTCATTGCCGTACTTGGCAGATCACTAGACTTCAAAGCTGAAAGCAGAAGTCAGGGTTCAAGTCGTAAACTTGTAAATCTCAAGTCACAGTTTGTAAATCTTGCACTTACAGAGGTTGGTCACTGGAGACCTGAGCTTTCATCTGGGGGCTTGTATGTGCTGTACACTCTTGGGGAAATGAGAGATGCAGAACCGGGTCTCACAGTGGGGGAGCTTCTATCTGCACCCAGCCATGAAGGGACAGAGTTAGAATAATCGCCTCCAGATCATCCAAGCTCTTGAGGTATGAGTGTGACAAGATTCCCATTATCCTACTGGGAAGAGCGTGGCTGGAGGCTGGAGACCATGTTTGAAGGGTACAGACCCAGGGCAGGGGAATAAGAGGAAGGCTGCCATCTTTCAGCTCTCCAGCCAGCCCCTTTAGCTTACCTCACTGTCCCTGGCTTCCTTTGCCCACCTCTTTGGGGATGAGCTGCCTTTCCAATGGAACTTCCCTAGAGAGCCAGACAGCTGCACAAGCCTGCCTGGAGCTGTGCCACCCTCCAGCCACCTACAGAGCCTGTGGGGCAGAGAGCAGTGCCCAGAGCCCGCCTGAAGAGCCGTCAGACCCAGCACCCATCGAGTGCATCAGGAAGGAGCCTCAAGTTCAGCTAGAGCTGGAGTGGAGTCTCAGGCTCGTTCACGACAGTCTATAGGCCAGACAAGGGTTCCCTGGCCTCCTGGGGAGACATTCTGCTAGGAGAGACAGATGCTGACACGCCCGTCAGGGCATGAGAGAGAGGAGGTCCTGGTGTAGAAATTCCACAGCTCAGGCCCCAGCATTGAACAAAAAGTATCCGCGAGCTCGCAGGGCGTGACACTGAGGAACCATAAAAGCGGTGGCAGAGAGGAGAGAGGGCAAAGGGCCTCGCTGGAGGGACATGCTGGATTTAGAGGTGTTGGAGGCACCTGGGGCAGAGAGGGGAGCCTTCTGGAAACAAGTACCCCCTACAGTGAGCAAGAAGGGAAAGTGGGAAGGTTGGGGAGCGTAGAGGGTGAAGGAGGAGTGCCGCCCAAACCAATGGCTTGTCCACTGCACATTCTCCCAGAAGCATCTGTCTTTATCTCTGCCGGTGTCTGTGTGTCCATTTTGTCATAATAAGGATGAAGATGACTCAGTGGGCAGAATAAACTCTGAAAGCCTCCACCATGTCCCTCCATGCTTCTCCAGGGCTGGGTCGGTGTCAAAGGGAAACTGTCTCCTCCAGCTGAAGACCACCAGCTCTAAGCTGCGCCCTTCCTGGCCTGCCTTCCCCTCCTGCCACCACCCCTTAATTTTGTTTTGATTCCCAGAGCGAGCAGGGACTGGCTTCCCGTTGTCATGACAACAGCCATTAAAAGAGCCAGCCACATGATCCAGGTTGATAACGGAAGCTAAGTGACTAACTGCCTTGTTTTCCTGCCTCTGGCTGCTGCCAGGAGGCCTCTTAATTGGAGAGGAGAAAGCAGGGGCCTGTGGGTGGCAGATGAGACCCCCCCCCCATGGAAGGAGACAGCCACGTCCTTCAGGGGACGCCGTAGCTGGGTGGAAAGGGAGAGGGGAGCCGTCCTGCAGTGCCATCCTCACAGCTGCCAACCTGTGTCTAGGGGAGCCCACCCCACCCGCAGCCCTGAAGTGGAAGAGGGGATGGTGAAGGGAAAGGGGGATGTGCTAAAGAGGCTGAAGGAAAATGAGGGAACTGAGTGATGTTACCATGGAGACGCCTGGGTCTCATCCTACCCTGGCAGTTCCAGTGAAGGACTCAGGACAGCTTGGCCACCACAGAACAGCTGCCGGGTAACATGCAGGTCACCGTGCAAGGCTTGAAGCGCACCCAAGAGTTAGTACACGTGTACAGAGTTTGTGTACGTGTGCAGCTCTGCCCCAGGGGAATGGTGGTGTCTGGAAACGTTTTGGTTGTAAGAGCCGTGGATGCTCCCAGCACCCGCAGGAGGAGGCCAGGGGTGCTGCTTATCATCCTGCGGTACACAAGACACCCCCGTTGCTAGCATCATCACCCCACCCACAGCCATCAACACCATCATCGCCACGATCATCTCCATCACCACCACCACCCACCAGCACCACCGCCATCTACACCACCCCTCACCGCCATTACCATCATCACCATGACCTTCTACCATCTCCACCACCCTGTCATCACCATCGCTCCCGTCATCACCATCAACGACACTCTCATCTCCAACAAGCCCCTGTCATTACCATGGCCATCATCATCTCAATCCTCATCCTATTTAACCACTCTCACCCCTCCGCCCTCACTCCACACTGTTACCAACCACCATCACTACCCTCCACCCTAACCCCTCCATCACCACCTACACTGCCACCGTCGCCGCCACCACCTCCTGGAAGACCCCTGCTCAGAGCAGACAGCAGTGGCTATAGCTATGATGTGTGTAAAGGGAGGAGATGAAGGGGAAAGTGCCTTTGTCTCGACTTGTCCTGGGCTGTGGTTGCCAGTGTGCACTGTGTAGACCGCCTGCCTGGCCCAGACAGGTAATGAGAAAGAGCCAGGAGGGCTGGCTCCAGGAGAATTGCATCTAATAATGTCCATCTAATAAGGATGGACATCTCCAGGCTCCTAGGAAAGGGCAACTTCTGCTGCCTTCTCCCCCTACCTTCCCCTCCATCCACAGATATTTATCGGGCACCCCCGAACTTGTTCAAGAAGCTGCAGCTTGGGAAATGAGGAAAGCGCCCTTGCACGCTCTCACTGTACAGTCCGCTGGAGGCACAGCTGAGAGCGTGAATGGCGGGGCTGGGAGCCGGAGAACTGCCTGCTGTGCGAGCATCAGGGCCTGGGTTTGAGTCCACAGCACCCATGTAGGAGCAGACACAGCCGAACAAGTGTGTAACCCCAGGACTGGGAAGGCAGAGACAGGATGACCCGCAGAGCCTTGGCCAGACACTAGCCAATCAATGAGCTCCAGGCTCAGTGAGAGAGCCTGTTTCAAAAAGTAGATGGAAAATGACTGAGGAAGATTCCAGACATCAACTTCTAGCCTCCATGTGCACACATACATGCATGCTTACATACATACACACATGCATACATACAGATACACACATACATACACACTCATGCACACATGCATATGCACATACAGGCATACATACACATATATACACATGAATATGCATATGTGTACATACACATGCATGCATACATGTACGCATACACATGCATACATACCTATATACATGCACA